TTTATAGAATTTTTTTAATTAATATATAAATAATTGTAATTTGTTAAAAAAAAAAGACACTCACAATAAAGAGAGAGAAAATAAAAAGGACACATTTATATGTTATTTAATTATAATTATTAAATATATGAAATATAATGTAAAATTTTGAATTTATTAAATTTATCATTAAGATATTATTAAATTGGTTAAACCCCTATTTTGGTTCCTCAATCATTGTATGAACCCTCAATTTAGTCCTTTAACTCAAAAAATTCATAATTTGGTCTCTACTGTTTATCATTGTCCCCAATTTTGCCCTTCCGTTAAATTTTGGTTGAGATGGCCTATTAACTGACGGAATGAAAGTGACATATCCAAATATTTAATACATAAACTGACAACAATGATAAATAAATGATGTGGCTAAAAACCCAACCACCTAATCAAACAAATATAATTATTCAATCCATCAAATTTACAATTTTGCCCTCATTTTCTTCCTCAGTATCCTCCCTCTCAAAATTTCTTCATTCACTCTAAGTCAAACATTCAATTCAATGAGATCAATTAATTCATCATCATCATCAACCAAAATTGCCTCATTCAAGGCTTGCTAGATTCGATCTTACCCAAAAAAAAAAAAAAAGGCCTTGGGTTCGAAACAACCCAATGGTTTTGCTAGGTTCCCGAACCTAATGAATTTGTTGGGTTCGATACCCAACAGATGCGCTGGTCCTCATCTTCTTCCTCAGCATCCTCCCACTCAAATCTTCTCCATTCATTCTAAATCAAACATTCAATTCAATGAGATCAATAAATTCATCATCATCATCAAACAAAATTGTTTGAACCCAGCAACTTTGTTAGGTTCGATCTTACCAAAAAAAAGAAAAAAAGAAAAAAAGTTGCTGGGTTTCTGAACCCAATGAATTCGCTGGGTTCGATACCCAACAGATGCACTGGTCCTCATCTTCTTCCTCAACATCCTCCCTCTCAAATCTTCTTCATTCATTCTAAATCAAACATTCAATTCAATGAAATCAATAAATTCATCATCATCATCATCAAACAAAATTACCAAAAAAAAAGAAAAAAAAGAAAAGAAAAAAAGCTGCTGGGTTCTTGAACTCGGCAGCTCTGTGGGGTTCTCGAACCCAGCAATTGTAGAGGTTGAAGAGGAAAGTATAAGGGTTTGCAGAAGGCAAAGGAAACGAAGAGGAAAGAGAACCCAGTTCAAGAAGGGAGAAAGAAATAAGGATTTAGATTTTAGAGGTTGAAGATAAGGTAATGCAATCATTTTATTATGGTTAAAGATTATTTGGATAATTTTTTTGCCGTGTCATATATTTGGACATGGTGTAAATTCCATGTATTTTATATATTAAAAAGATGTGCCCTTGCTCGTTAGTTAACAGGCCACCTCAGCAAAAATTTAATGGAATGACCAAATTTGGGTCAAAATGGTAAATAGTAAAGATAAAATCAAGAATTTTTTGATTTGAAGAACTAAATCAAGAGTCTGTACAATAGTTGAGGGACCAAAATGGGGGTTTAACCTATTAAATTTTATGTTTTTTTAAGAATTCTGATATATGATTCAAGTGATCACTGGGTCTCCACTCATATTTTCAGAGTTTAATTCCCCTTTTCTCCATTCTCCTCTCCCATACCCTCAATTGCCCTAATTCAAAAAAAAAAAATAAAATTATGTATTTTAAATGTTTAGTTGTTTTAATTTTTCTTCTTTATAATAAAAGATCAAAAATTATTATCTAGACTGCATGATAGTAATAATTAGATGAAAGACGCACTCTCATATGTTAGGATCTTTTTTTATCTAATCATACTTATTTTATAATTTAGTGTATTTTAAATTATAAAATAATAACTTATAAAAAATGATTGTTGTTATTACCATACTTTTAATTATTAATATTACATATTTTTATTTTAATTAATTATGATACCTTTTAATTTATTAAAAATAAAAATATAAAATTTTGAAAAAAAAATATAATAGAGAATTACTGTGTCATATTAACTATTTAAGTGTGGAATTTGTGAATAACCCCACCTATAAAAGATACCTCACTTTCTTAAATTCACTCTCATCCGAACTCGGCTACAAATGGGCTAGTACCAACCCAGCCCAGCCCACTGAGCTCAAAACCAACGAATAGAATGATGGATCGTGGGCTTTTCTCTAGCGGTCGGGTACCCGAGTGTCCTAATCCGTTTCGTCAGAAGGTACAGTCCGGATTCACCGCCTCTGGACTCCCGGAGTCGGAGAGACTACAAACTGAAGAAATAGCAAGTGAGAAGATAGACAGAGCTCGAAGATGGACGAGGAGCAAGGCAGTAGCGGCGGTCACTTGGAAACCGGAAGAGCAGACAGATCGGTGTGGCTAATGAAGTGCCCGCTGGTGGTGGCGAGGTCGTTTGAGAATCATGCTTCTTCGTCGGATTCTCATCCTGTCGCCAAGGTCGTTCTCTCTCTCGATCCTCTCCGACCTGACGATCCTTCTTCTCTTCAGGTACTCCAAGAATCACTTCAGCTTGCTCTGAGTTTGGTAGCTTTAGTAGATTCCTCATCTGCTCACTGCTTATTCTGGAAAGCAACAACTTGTTAGGATTATTCGTTGAGATGTTTTGATTCTGCTTCGGATTTTAGTTTCTTAATAGGAAACCCTAACTTATTTGGATTGCTGGATGGTTGCTTCAGAGCTAATGGTAATCGACCTTGAATTTGCAATTTGAACATGTACCAGCAATTTATTCGTGAAGAATCATAGATTCTAGGATTCATTCAAGTTTATATTTCTCTTATCTTTGCACTGCGTTGGTAGCTTGTTTTGAAAGCTTAGGATAGTGAGATAATCAAAAGAACTAGTTTATGCCTTTGCACTGTATCCTTGTGGCTCTAGAGTTTTTGGTGGATGGTTGCGCTTGAAGACTCATATGCTCTGCATTTGCATGTAGAGTAAATAGAATTTGGATGCTTTCTTTCCTTATTACTATGATATACTTGTTATGTTTCCCTCTTTTCCATATATAGAATTATAGATGCCTCATTGAAGACTTGATTGAAGGTACAATCAGAAAGGAATCTTTTTATTTGGGAAGAATGAGTATCAAAGTATTACATAATTTGTTTACATGTGGTGACTGCTCTGCTATTATTTTTCTCATAAATTTTATCTACTGGAAAAATTGGGGAAGACATTTTTATAATTTCCTCCTTCCTCACATATTTATTAATTGATTGGCAGTTTACAATGGAGATGGCTGCTACTGAAACGTCGCATGTTCCAAAAAGTTACTCTCTAAACATGTTTAAAGACTTTGTTCCTATATGTGTCTTCTCTGAAACAAATCAAGGTAAGTAGTTTCCTAAGTTCTCAAGTAGTTTTGTTTTGCATGTCTTATGTAATGCAATTCTTTCTTAATTTTGTTATTATGATATTGATGGCTAAAAAGTTCTTAATTTTTATGACTTCAAAGAAAAAATGGTGATACGTTGACTAAAGTAGAAATTGGCTTTTTTTTTTTCCCCCTCTTTTTTTCTTATGGAATAGAAATTGGCTTCTTCATGCTGCAATATTCATATAAAACTTGACCTGGCTTGAGTATGGACGCAACTGTCTGCTTTTGATCATGATGATGGATTATTGGAATGGTGGTTGAAAACTTACAGCTGATATGCCAAAGGAGCAGTTTGTATGATGTTTTACAATGAGCGGATCACATGGTTAACTTTTACCATGAGTAGATAACATCTTTAACTTGCATCTTCAAAGTTAATATCCTTGCCTGGAACTGTGCTATTTTACTACATATGGATATATTCTTTCTCCAATTTCAACAAAGAACATCTTATATGCTCTCGTTAATATATAAAATTTTTATGTGTCTTTATTTTCGTAAGTAAAACTGATGTGGTTTGTGAAGATACTTTTAGCAGTTTAGGATTTAGATTATATCTTTTCCTGTTGTGTTTTTTTTATCAAACTAACTTAGAAGGGCTTTTCTAAAGTGCTGCACCTCTTTTATCCTTTTAGGTAGGGTTGCTATGGAAGGGAAGGTTGAGCATAAATTTGACATGAAACCTCATCAGGAAAACATTGAGGAGTATGGGAGGTTGTGCCGTGAAAGAACAAATAAGTCCATGATCAAGAATAGACAAATACAGGTAGCACATTGGGCACACATTTGATTGGCTATGGGGCTTTCCTGTCTCTATTTTACTTTCACTCTAAACTTCTTACTTTTATTCCCCTGATGTGTTTGTAAGGTGATAGATAATGATCGTGGAGGGCATATGAGGCCCATGCCTGGAATGGTTGGCTTGATTTCATCCAACTCCAAGGTACTGATATTTATCTCTCTATTTATTTATTTTATTTTTTTGGGGGGGGGTGGGGTATTGACATTTATCCCTTTGTGTACATCTAAAGTTATACTAAAGCACATCATGCTTAATATTATTTTTTGAGGCCTGTCATGCTTTAGTTCCAGTAAATGCCTCTTACCTTATTATTTGAGTTTGGGAACAAAGTTGCAATTTTTGTGTTCTATTCACTCCAAATGCTTATGATATATTGTCCATTGCTTTGCTATATAATCTTATAAGTTCTCTCTGTCCAGCCAACCAACCAACTCTTTCCCCTCTCTGACACCTCAGAGGTAGGGTTGTAAATGAATCGAGTAGCTCATAAGCTACTCAATTTTAAGTTTGGCTCGAGCTTGAGCTCAAGCTTAATTTCAAGCACAATAAATAATCGAGCTCAAGTTCGAGCCTAAATGTTAGGCTTGTGAGCTACTCATGAGTGGCTCATTTAGATTAAAAAATTTTAAAATTGTATTATTTGATTTAATTTAATTATTTTAAATGTAAGGAAGTTGGCATCTTATGAGCTACTTGATCCAACTCTCCAATAATTGTTTGTTAAATGAGCTGAGCTGGAGCTCCATTTTTCTCAAGATGAGCCTAACTTGTGCTCCTCTTTTTGAGTTTGACAAAGCTCGAGCTGAGCTCTAGCTTGTTACTATGGAGTTGAGCTTGAGCATTGCAATATTTGGCTCATTTACAGCCCTATCCAAAGCAAAAAACATCCCATGCATCTCCCTTGTACTGTGTTAGAAGAGATTTGACACCTTCCGTGGTCAATTATCTATGAGCAGGACAAGAAGAAAACAGCACCAGTTAAACAGTCAGATGTGAAGAGAACCAGAAGGGATCGTGGGGAATTGGAGGATATAATGTTCAAGCTGTTTGAAAGACAACCAAATTGGGCTTTGAAGCAACTTGTGCAGGAGACAGATCAACCTGCTGTAAGCCATTCACTGGCTTCACTTCTTTTTTTTCTTCTCACCTCATTCAACTCATTAATTAGGTGAGACTAAGTGCTTGAGCAACCATATGCACATGTTTGAGAGTTTTTCGTTTGTTCTTTGTTGCAGCAATTCTTGAAAGAGATACTGAATGAGCTTTGCGTGTACAATAAGAGAGGAACCAACCAAGGAACTTACGAGCTCAAGCCAGAATATAAGAAAGCTGTTGAGGATACAGGTGCTGATCAATAGGTCAATTATGTACAATACTTTTTTTCTGTAACCAAAAGAAAGTAAGCAGGATAAGAACCCTTATGAAGGGTATAGCAAGAAACATCAGCAAAACAATCAGTGAGCTGTGCAATGGGAAAATTGATTGATAAGGTGATTGAGCTGGTTCTTTGAACTCCATACTAATGTATTCCTAAACAGGATTTTCTCGAAACCTGAGTACAAAGGTAAGGAGACGAAATTAACATGTACTCTGCAGATGTTTATCAATAAAATGATGATTGTATCAAATTTGTTTCATGTATACCAATAATGTTTAGTTTCTTAACTGGCCAAGTCAATTGCTTTTGGCTTGGGCATTGCATTGCTACATTGTTCCTGTGATAATGGTTGATGGTTGAAGGGACGTGTGGATGAATATTGGATAGCACTCTATCCTATGATGTTGGTTTGAAGGAAGCCAAGTTGCAGAAGCTAAGAAATGGAACAATTAATTTTATAGTTAAGGCACTGAGGCAAGTTCAGGAGATTTGCAGCTGTGACCCTAAACAGAGGACAGACGACAGGGATCTTGGCATATCTATAATTTCACTCATTATATGGATCTTTATGGGCCTAATGGGCTGTGGCCTACTAAAAAGAGAGATAATGGATCCAAATTAGGAGTGCGGTCTCTTGGCTTTCTTCTTGCGGCAATGAGTTCTGTGAATGTACTACACCTTTTTTCACACTTTTCCAATTGAGATAAAAGGTGGAAGAAGAAGCCGCAACAGCATGATTGAAAATGAAAGCTTCATGAATCAGAATCATTCATGACATCATAAAATCAAACCTAGTCTACTCATGATATAAATCCTTCTTGAAGAAACCTTAGTCTTTGGAGATGAGTATATATAATGAGTAAAGTCCGCATACCATTAGATCAAACCTATCTAGTTTGCTCAAATTCAAAAAGTCGCTGGCCATTAAACCAACAATATTGCATTCATAATTCTACTAGTTATGATGTTGAACGTCTTTTTCCTTTCTTTGATCATTATGCACATTTATCTACTAAATGCACATTTCTGTCAGACAAATTAATAAGTTTTTAAATACATTAGTTTCATCAAGTTAATACATTATGCTTGTTGAAATTTGTCAACTATGCATTTCTCCACCCAAGGCAAGAGCATAAGATGGAAAGATCAAGTTGTTTTTCGCCAATTTCATCACTTTAGCAAATAAGGCAATTATTATACTAATATACATACATAAAAAAATGAAATGAGTTTTCGAGTGCGATTTCTCAAGGCTTTAATCTCTATGGATGTGGATTTACAAATACCACTCAAAATTAATTTTTATAGTAATTTACATTTTGTAACTCAATTAATAAGATATATATTTTTTCATACTTAAAAAGATGAATTTGAATCCTCCACGCCCATCATATATATACTCGTATACATTAGATATGATCAAGAGCTTGTGGCATGCAAATTAGCTCTTTAATTGCATGGGTTTTATTGATAAGACTAGTCATATATAGTGGAAGCAAGCAAGTCTCCTACCCAAAATGCTAAGAATGGTGTGTATGTATGTAGGTCATCGAGTAGATTTTGAAAACAACAAGATGCCTGGAAATGAGCCCTTCTTGAGAACGAATGGGCAGCACCTCCGTGTGTCGCCCACTGACTGAGGCTGCCAGACCCACGCGAGAAAATGAGGATCTTGACAATGACCAACCAGGAATCTTCTTTGGCCCCCAATACATGGAAGATTTTCTCGACACCCCTTTTGCTAAAAGATTCCAATACTATCTTCACAGTTCTCAAGAATGAAGAATGAATATGAGCCGATAAATCGATCAACTTGGCCTACGAGACTTGAAATGGAATCTTGGGTGTTTTTAGGACGTCCACCCCCATATCAGGGGACCCTTTGCTCCACGTTATTTGCATTTTAATGGAGGCTTTGTCAACCTCCGTGAGTGTGGATACTAAAAGAGGAAAACCAATAAATGAAGAGAGAGAAATAAATACAGTAGTATAGTTTGTAGTGTCAAAGACGATCTTGATTACCAACAATCTGTTGGTTCGAATAAAAAGAATTCAATTTCTTTTAAATAAATTTTCAAATTTAAGTTTTGTGAACAATAAAATAAAAATTGAGAGAACTTTCTCAAATGGAATTTAACGTGACTCGATTTCGAATTAATCAAATCTAATATGATTAGCAATACCGGGAGGTTAGTAAAAAAAAAAAGATGATTTTTCTTTTAACAAAGACAATAATTAAGAGTTAGGAGTTCGAAGTTAATAGTTTACTCTTTTCAATTGCTGATCGGGGTGTATTCCAACAACAGCTTTTATGGGCTGCAGTGGCACCATTAGCCCATAACAGGCCAATGTAAAAAAAAAAGAAAAAGAGAAAAAAAGAAAAAGGAAAAGACGATCTTGATTGGGAAATAGAATGAATATTAGAGGAAGCATCCCTTAATTTCGGCTGATGTAATGGCCGCCGCTATCTTTGCTAGGGATATTAATTTGTCATTAATTAATTTATTTGTAATTTTTTAGAATATTTAATTATAATATTTAAAAATATTTATTTATAAATTAATTTCAATATGTTAATTCACAAATATTAATTATTTTATTAATTATTAGTTATTTTAACCATCAGAATAAGATAAAATTAATGACAAATTGGTATCCTTAACAAATATAATGGTGGCAATAATCATTGCCCTCAATTTCATAATAATATTGAAATTAAAAGATGATGATCACTAAGATTTTGTTTATGTCTATATAGCTATTACTAATGTAATTTTTAAATATAGATAATTTTTTATACTTAATTGGCTATACCTCCCATGAATATAGTTTATATATGTATCTAATATTACAAGATATACTTTTACTCTGGTACATATTGTGATATAAGGATTTATATACAATATTAATTTTATTTATTTTGATACAATCTCTATTTTTTATTTTTTTTAAAATAGAAAATTTTTTCTTATTAGCAAAGTACAAATTTTATTAAAATGTGTACTAATAGTACTCAAGTCCATATTATAAGACTGTTATTACATCCTCTCCTCTAAAACAGAATCAGTACTTACAAAAGCAAGTATCACAATTAAGACAACTAGCTAGTTAGTATATATATTGATTCTTTTCTTTTTGAAGCTATATATGCACTTCAAATTTGTTATTAAATTAAGTAGAAAACTCTTAAATGAACTACCTTAGAAGCAGAAAATTAAGCAAGAAAAAGACATGAGAATGAGTGGGTTATAGTCAATTTTGATGACTCAATGGACAATAAAATATATCATGCATGAAGGAAAGATTTTTAAGTCGAAAAAAGAGAGTGGAATGAATCAATCAGCATCAAAGACCTAAATTGGATTTGATCAAAATTAACCTTTATTATTTAGATTATAGTACACGCAATTTGTAAAATTATGAGGCCATCTAATCATGTTGGGAATGGTTTAACAAAAGCATGTGATGCTATTGCTCATTTCACCTAATATCTCTTGTCTTAGTTCGTTGCACAGTGGGTTTTTTGGTGGGTGTATGGAATCACTTTATGCGCCAAAAGCGTCCCATGGCCAAAAGCAATAAAGAAATATTGCATATGTCTAGTGCGTTTATCTCTTAGCAAGTGAAAAAACTAGAAAAGAAGCCCAAAGCAGATAAAGCGAGGGGGATCAATCCAAAGTTGGGAGATGCATGGTTCGGTTCTAAAATCTCAGAATCTTTTCAAGGGTGGAGAGATAGGGTTTCAAGCTAGGGTAGGTAATAATGTTTGCTCCTTTTGGAAGTAGATAGAATCAACTAAAATGCAAAGTTCCAAACAAAATTAAGTGGTATTCTTTTGTCATTTTCATTTACCATTGATCTCTTGGAAGTTTCTTTTGAGGGTGTAGTAGTAGTGATTGATATACTCAAAATTGCACCATTTTTTTTTTCTCAAATTTTAATTTGATCATGTAGTACACAAACAGGTTAGTGTCATAATTCCCATCAGTGAAATTGATGGGTTAGATTTTGAAGGGTAGTTGGGAATATGAGCCTATACATTTAAAGGTGTTTTTTTGAATGTTAACAGATTGAAATGGTTAGATTCATGAAGAGAGCTTTGCTGAATGTGACTTAAAATTGAATCAATGATAAAGAAGATGGAAAGGAGGTGGAGGTTTTTAATTAGATCTAAATTGGTGGAAAACTTTAGACCTTCTGACTGTACCAAATTGCTACTGTGATTTGATTCATCTAGAAAACTTAGCCACTGAACGTGACTTAACATGAGAGGCCAATATATATATGTGACCAGAAAAGTATCTAATTTGTCCATACATATTACTGCTTTTTTTCTTTTTCTTTTTCTTTTGAAAGGGGTGGGCAGCATTTTTGGGTTGAGGGAGGGGGAGAAGGTAGCCAAGGCATTCAAACCCCAGTCTCAGGGGGGGACAATAATGTTCACTGGTCTAGAAAGTGCTCAACATCTTGTTTTGACAATTGGCAATGTCAATTAATGGGTTCCCAAATCCCATGGGAATAAATTTCAACTGCTTGCCCCAGCGCCAGAGTCTCAATCATGAAAACCTCTGAAAAATTTTGCTACTCGAGTCCGTGTGCTGCACATGTTCGGCCTACTCAAACTTTTTAAAAGTTGTATAATTATTTGAGTAGAGTTTTTTTTTTTTTTTTTGGTTTCTCGTCCGGTATTTGAGGTTTCGTCCCGATTAATCTGAACCCGACCCGCGTCGCGCACCTAGAAATGGTGGGTAAGTCTCCCAGCGAGAGCTGTTGCATACACAAGATCTCAAACTCGAGACCTTACTTAAACTGGAACAATCCGCTTACCACTTGATCCAACCCCTCATTGGTTATTTGAGTAGAGTTTACTTATCTAACATAGCAAGATATGAAATTATATAAAATGATAGGCGTACTCAGCTTCTAAAAATAATTTAAAATCACTTTACAGGACAAAATCCTTTGAAATTTAATTAACGGTTTTTCTAAAGCACATGTTAAGATCAAAATTAATGTACTATTTTACATAATTTTGACATTAATTTAGTATTTTTTTAGTTGCACAATAAGAGATAATTTTTTCTCATCTCTTATTTCACTTTACTTTATTTCATTCAACTCGCATGTCATGTAATTCAAATTAAAAACCTTATACGTCTAGTAAAAGAAGATTATTACTGAATTATTTAAATTGTTGGATATATTAATTTAGTATTAACAAATACAAAACTTAATGTTTATTTTATT